GTTCAATCATAAATAGTAGTGCCAATCGAAAACAAGCGTTAAAACCTTTAATATGTCTTCAAATATAAATAAACATCTTGTTGATATTTTCAGTAGTAAATGGTACCGATAACAGCTCATTTGAGCAATGCAATTGTAGTGGATAAAATGGTCAATTTTTCCGTGCAGTACTGTACGGATTATACGCTCCTCACCGGTTAACAGTTTGGCTGCGAGTTGTCTCCTTCCTTTTCTGGCCTCATGCTGTTCTTTTCTACTTTGCGCCGGTCAAACTGAAGGTCACATCGCTACAGCATGTAAACGAAGTATAGTTTTTTTGAAATATCTCTGCAACCGCAAGCCCTTCAAATATTTATACATACGTTTTATATTTCGGAAAAGTCGTATACTTTTTTATGAAAATTTAAATAAAACAATAATATTCCTACAAATATTTATTTTTTCACTTTTTTGGCTGATAAAACTTTCTTTATTGTTGCTCAAAATTTATTGATGTAAAATTCTCAGAAACGAGACAGTTCAATTTTCTAAACACAAGGATCTGTCCAAACATTCGCATACGTACAGCGGAAGTACATTTAAATATTAGTAGTGATTGAAAGTTCGTTGGGCACTGGATGAAACATACATACATTATTAATTCAAATATTTAAAAATTAATGTTTTGTCGAGTACCCAGCGAATTTTTAAATACTACGAAGATTTAAATGTACACCACTGCTTCTATGCGAAATCCTGGAAAGACGCTTGTGTTGAACCGTCTCATTTCTGAAAATTTTACATCAACAAATTTTGAACAGGCTCTAAAATCTGTAGCTATTGTCAGTACTTTTTCACATGGCCTCAATAATGAATGTTTTATCAGCCAGAAAAATGGAGAAATAAATATTTACAGGAATATTATTGTTTTAATTCAATTTTCATAAAAACAGTATATGACTTTTCCGAAACATTAAACGTCTGTATAAATGTTTTGAAGGGCTTGCGATGGCGGAGATATTTCAAAAAAACTAGTACAATGTTTCTTCAAGATGGAGATTAATATTATATATAAAAGAAATTATGAGTGCTGTCAACACAGGGCAAAGTAGTATTACGTAGTTAGTATCAGCAATTTTTTATGCTGAAGTGTACGATGTGTTGCATACCTATTTATAAACAATTCCTTTAAATTTTAATCATTGATTTTTAATACATCTATTAAAAAACCATAATGGCCGACATCAGTGACAATGCGATAACAATTGAAAAAGAATGATGGTCGACAACAGCAACAATTAGAAAAAAATGATGGCCGACACTACGTCTTAGTATTGTTCACAAAAGTGAATTTCGACCACTCGAAGCAGTGGTGTTAACAGTTTCAAGCTCACAGTGACTGATAGGGCAGAAGAATTAGTTAAATGTAAAGAAAATTCTGCTTTCTCATTATACTGACACCCCGTTTTCCTCAAACTTAACCATTCTATATACCACAATCGAAAAAATAAATGGGCTTCCTACATGGCTATAACTGTAGCTAAGCACTTTCTTAGTTATATCAATTGAATTAAAATGATTTCAACTGCTTGCGATAAGACATTGTGAAAGATTAACAAAAAAGTAAATAAAAAAATTCATATTACACATTACGAAAATTCATATTACACATTACGAAAACATTGACTCGTCTGTTAAGGTTCATGAGATTCTAAAGTATCTCTACCATTGCTAACGTTGCCCTTTTCCTTTTAACAAGCCTAGTAACCCTTAAAGGGCGAGCTTTAATGATGTTTATTATTCATAAGGGTTTGTAGATTACATTAATGAGAAATTGAAAACCAAACGTAGAGATACTCTATTACAGAGGACATCATCATCTTTTCAAAAATACGGCATGGTAAAGGGAAATTGGTACAAATTCCTTTAGCCATCTTTTTATATAAATAATTAAATGATGTCTAATAAATGCAATTTAAGTTCGGTTATTTCAGGAAAATTTTCAATGATATGCTTGGAGAAAAATTTGCCTAATCTGAATACAGGTATTGGACTTACGTTACTTTATTATTTATACTGAAAGCATTTTCGATGATGATGCTGGCCTTTGATGGCTGTATGTGAATAACTAACATAATATTCCTACGTTTGGTTCTCAATTTGGCACGAGCGTATAGGGTGGAACAAATTAGATGATGGTATCTAACGAAAACGATATTGATTGTAGGAGCTCAAATGAAATTCACCCTGAAGTCATGATTTAATTTTCTCATTTATAGAAAAGGTTTCAAGATATAGTAAAAAAGTGTTTTTATGTAATGGAAATGTCTTAAAAAAGTCCAGATTTTCAGCATTTAACGATTAATTTAAAATACTAAAACATGATTAAAACTAATTGTGTACAGTGTCCAAATTTCGTTTAAGCAAGTCCGATCGTAAAACGGAACCGTTATAGGATCACCAGTGTCCATTTGTTTGTTTGTCACACTGAATTTGCTCCGAATCTACTGAACCAACTAAGTTTAATTTAAACATATCAATTTCTGTGACCCGAACACGGACGCATAACGTAAATAAATTAATTTTGAACATGGGGGTCATTTTTCGGGAGACCAACAGGAAATTTAAAAAAAAAGTTTTGCAAACGGTACCGTGGGACATATCAAATGAAAGGGCTTGTTGTAAGGGTCTCAAATATNCATAACTACACAACATTTTTCTGTGAAAAATTTTCATAAAAATAAGTATCTATAGTTGGAACGTTCAAAATTGGCCTAGTCCGCAATAAAACTTTCACATTTACTATCTTCTTTCAACTTACTAATTAGACTAGAGTGTTGTCAGAAATTTGCGAAAGCAAAAACGCCTATTTAAAGATATAACTTCAACTAGGCAATTATAAATCCGATCCTGATCTTTAGCGTACCTAGAGAACCCCTCACCGTTGCACCACTTACTATTATTCGGTTAAATCTCTCTCGTGTATTCTTGTTGTGTGAGTCGTGCATCCCGCACTTTTTATGTAGGTACAGGACTAGTTAGAACATAGCATAGGGGTACTATTCTATTACGTTCCTGCAATCATCAAAGAGCGACAATCTTTTAAAACAAAACCACGTGCTATAGGGAAATTCGTACAAATACCTTCAGGCATATCTAAGTAATATTAATTCAATAATATAGCAGTATTAGCATCTAGCAAGGAGGAGTTAGAGATTGTTTTAAATAAAACGCATAAATTGAAAGCGGTATTAACAAAACAGTACTGTATGAAAATAAATAAAAATAAAACAAAAGTACTGGCATGTGGCCGATTTTAGGTATCTAGGAAGTCAGTTAAGTCAGGACGGAAGGAGCAGTAGGGATATACAACAGGGGATAGCGCAGGGTCGAGTGGCCTTCAATAAAAAGAATTTACATCTATGCTCGCGAACGGTTAACGAAGGTGTGTGTTTGGAGCACGGCGCTGTACGGGTGCGAAACATGGACAGTTGGCGCGGCGGAAAAGAAAAGGTTAGAAGCTCTCGAAATGTGGTGTTACAGGCAAACGATGAAGATACCGTGGATAGAAAAGGTTAGAAATGAAGAGGTATTAGAAAGAATGGGAGAACTCTATGGAAATCAATAAGAAATAGGCGAGATAGGTTAGTAGGACACCTCAGGCAATAAGGTCTAGTTAGAGACATATGAGAGTCAGAAACGGGAGGAGTACAGGTAGACCTAGATTAGATTACTGTTCACAAATACTTAAGGATGTGGGTTGTTCTAGTTTTAAGGAAATACGAAGATTAGCTCAGGATAGGAAGGAGTGGAGGTAGGTGCCCAACCAGTCTTAAGACCTTATGTTGATGATGAAATTCAATAAATGTGAGATTTAGAGCTTTTGGGGCAGTGGTAAATACGACAGATAGAAGAATTGGTTCAAATCTAGCCAAAATTGAGTATGTAAATTCGTTCGGAAAAATTGTTTTTATATGAACTAATCTTCACATTTCCCCAAAACTAGAACAACCCATATCCTTAACTATTTGCGAACAGTCATCTAATCTAGGTCTACCTCTACCCCTCCTAACTAACCGTTCTGTTCGCCTATTCTTTCTAATACCTCTTTATTTCTAACCTTCTTTATCAACGCTATCCTCATCATCCGCCTATAACACCACATTTCGAAGGCTTCTAACCTTTTCTTTTGCGCCGCGCCCACTGTCCATGTTTCGCACCCGTACGGCGCTGTGCTCCAAACATACAACGTTAACAACCTTCTTCGAATTTCTAAATTATCCGTTTGCGAGCATAAAAGTGACTTCTTTTTATTGAAGGCGACTCGATCTTGCACTATCCTCTGTTTTATATCCGTACTACTCCTTCCGTCCTGACTTATCTGAGATCCTAGATACCTAAACTCAGCCACTTCTAATTTTTCGTCTCCTATTTTCATATTCGTTCGTTCCTTACGTTTTCTTCCCTTGCATACCGGTATTTTTGTGTTATTTTTATTTATTTTAATACAGTACTGTTTTGTCAATACCGCTTCCATTTTATTTAAAGCTATCACTAACTCCTCCTTACTAGACGCTAATACTGCTATATCATCTGCAAATCTAAGCATACTAATCTTTTGACCCTGTATATCTATCCCTACAGTTGTCCTATCATTTAATGATCGCGTTTTCGATGTATAGATTAAACAGTAGCGGTAGTAATTGAATAAGAATGATAACTTTTCAAATAAATAAATACGAAAATATTAAAAATATTTATATATAGGTATAATTTGAAGACTTTTTTGTAATATGCAGATATTGACATCAGTTCATTTTATTTATTTAAATATTTTCATTTTCATCATTCAACATCTATTTTTCATCATATTTAGATGATTTTGGTTTTATATTTGTTTATGTTATATGTATAGCAACAGTTGCCGAACGCGCGTGAATTTTCCGTAGAAATTCGTTTTTCCTTGTCAGAGGAACGTTGAGGAAATCGATACTGCGCTAGTATGTGGCCGCATGCGAATGCTGTCTGTCGTATCATGCAGAGACACCATAACCTAAATTCGTATTAATGCCAATTAAAATGATAAAATAACACCGCTTCTAGATGATACTAGACGCCAACTACAAATGGTCGTCATGTCGGTCCGTTTGTTTGAATAGTAAAAAAACATGTGCTGTGAAGACTTTCCGTACGAGTGTGGTGTCTTTGTTGCGATCTCAATGAATACTTCCAAAAAGTATAGTTCGACTTCCAGTAAGAATTTTCTTGAATTTTCTGCATGTTTTTAAATATAACTTGATCTTTACATTAATCACTGCTTGAGAATCAGAACCTTTCCTGTAAAACAATACGTAAAAGGTACAGCCGGTACTTTAGAAACAAACAAAAGCGTTTGTTAATTTTATAAGAGTAGACAACATCATTAATATTATTTACATATAAAAAATAATATTTTTGTCTTAATAGAAATTAAATTTTCTCTATTTATTTGAATAAAAAATAGTTACCATTTTATTGCATTGAGTTTTCCGTAGTACTTTTATTGAAGTATTGGAATAAAAAAGACAATAGGTAATTAAGAAACATTTTGATACTGTTGAAAACTTCTAACGTTTATTTCTGATAAATTATCATACATATATACAAATTATACTTAAAGAAAAGGATACAGTGGCGTTCCGTTTTTTCCAATATAAAATCAATTAATTATGTAAGGTTCTTTTTTAACAGAATTTACATGAAAAAATAATTAAGTGATTAATTAACAACGTTATTTAGTAGACGATTTAAAACTTGCAATATATGTTTTATACAATTATCGCTATGTTA